CACTTGTCAGTCTTTCCCTCTCTGCCACCTACAGCCTTCCTGACCCCAACAGACACAGGCTTTGATTGAATTTGTTGGTGGGTTATTGATGTGCCCTGCCTTGGAAGAACTTCCTCTTGGTTCCACATGGTACTTTATGCCCTACCTGGTTGTCTGCTGCTATGAGGGAAAGGTGCAGCACTAATGACATCAGAAGGGGCTAAGGCTGACCTAGCAAATTCCCATTTTGCAGAAAGCTCTTCTGCTGTCCTGGTTTCAAACTCTGAGATGAAGATGCTCTTTACCTCCCTAGGCTAGACTCCATGAAGGGGCATTCTTCTGCTCCTCCAAACAGATGCAGTGACCACCAGTGTAGGTTTTACAATTCCCACTGCATTGCAAAGAACCAGAGATACGGCGCAGAGGGACACTGTAGCACATGAGGTACTAAAAATAAAAAATTTAAAAAAAACAAACCCCAAAACCCCACACAACCCAAAAAAACCTTAAGGTTTGAAAGTAAGGAAAAAATCAAACACCAAAGATAAACTGTATAAAATCATCTGTCTGAACCTCATCCTCATTGATCAGGTTACAGAAAACATTAAACTACATAATAAGCCCATAAATGAATTAGTCAAGGAAAACTGTGATTGCAAAGGAGGGAAAAAATAATCCAAATTAAAAAAAATATTGTCTAGTTTTCTATAATAATTAATCCAATTTAAATTCAAAACTAGACAGTTGCATATTCAAGACACGGATACCTGGAGCCTGATTATTGCTTTTCCATATGGACTACAGTCCTGCTCTGGAGATGCATCTTTAACTGTACATTAAAGATTACACATTGATTGTAATTAGAGCGGAACTCCTTGCTCACAACGTTTCACATTTTAAAAGTTTATGATGGTTCAAAACGCAACTGGTGAAATTTACAAGGAATGGCTGTTAAAGATTAAATAACTGCTTCCAGGATCAGGAAGCCTTTGAGCTTCATGTCTCTGAAGGCTGGGAGAATATTCTGCTGAATGATCACTTGTACATTTTCCTGTTCTGCTCCTCCATTGCTGAGCATCGCTGTCAATCATTGCTACTGAGAAGGGAAATGCTGTTTTACTCCTCAGGGCTCTCACCTCTTTATTCATGACAGATGCTAAAAGTACATCTTTTGGATGTGGAAAGTACAGTAAGTCCACAGGGTGTAAGGACCTATACAACAAAGTCCATGTACTCAGTGCAGTAACCTTTGTCTGACAGAAGAATGTCTTGTAAATGAGGAAGGCACCTTCTGCTGCAATGACTTCTTCCAAGAAAAGGGCACAGAGTAGTCAAATCAGCTTTCATTCTCTTTTTCTTTGGCTAAACAGATCAAGATGATTAAGTTGCTGTCGGAAAGCACATTTTCCAACAATCAAATACACGTAGCATCTTTCTCAAAGTTTGTCACCTCTTTTTTTTCCTACAAAGAACACTTAAGACTTCAGATTCCAACAGCCTTGATTGTCACTTTGGGTAATTGCGCACTCATCCAAATGAGTGAAAAGAAGAACACAGAAGGTCTCTTTAGGCTAAGAAATCCTGACATGAAATCAAGGCATTGTGAAAGGAGGGACTTCTTTCAGACTCCTGCTGTTGCCACACTGTCCTTTTTAGATGTTTACTGATGTTGTACCGTAACAGCAAAAAGAGCAGCTGCAGCGTTGCTTCAATACCAGCAACGTGACCCAAAAGTTCCTGGGCTATTTTCCTGAGGTGTCAGCAAACAAACGTACAGACATAAAGCCCCGGGAGGTTCTCTGCGTCCTCCGTAGATGTTCTTCTCTCTCTGCCAGACAAAACTGCCCCAAGGGAGCAGTGACACACTTATGGTGGGGGCCTCAACAGGCAGAAGTCAGGGCTTAGAGCTCTCCTGAACAGCTGGTCCCTCTGCAGGCACCCAGCCAGCAGCCGGCGATGCCACCGCTGCTCCAGAAACTCACAGGGAAAAGGGCTTTTTACTTTTCAAGATGCATAAAGTGATCTTTCCTGTGGAAGGAATGCCAAAGTCATGTCTGATTTGTGGAGGAAAAAAAAAAAAATAGTGCTTTTTTTTTTTTTGTCCTTTTGAGAAGAACTGTTGATTCGGTATGATTATTGCAAAAGTAGAAGCAGGTACAAAAAAACCCCATCAAACAGGAAAACTTTATATGTTAATGATCATAATGAACATTATAGATACTAATGGCATAATTTATTTAACTCACTGAATAGCGACCTTCAGATTTCTCATTGTGGTTGCACGTGTGAACGCTAAAGAATCTTGAATGTCATGCAAAGGGGACTTAAGCCCTTTGAATGGGGTGGCTAGTGGTGGGTTTTTTTGGCTTCTGACTGATGAAGCACAGAGCAAGCTCTTTGATGACACGTTAAATGGTGGTTCTGGTCAGTCATTAATAAACTTGAGATTTTATTCAGTTCTGTCCTGTGCCAGTCAGAGCATTTTGTAACTAGTCCCTAAGCTTGCTTTCTTCCCTTTATTTTCTCCAAACAGCCATGTAGAGTTGTTATACGTTAAAACCCAGCTGTTCTCTGTTTCCTTAAAGTACATAAAACAGTTGTATATGAAACAGTTTGTTGAGGTAGCTGAAACTTTAAATCCACCGATATTTTAAAATCCCTTTGCATTGCAATCCAGAATAGAAAAAAAAAATATTAACTACAGACATGGAAATTCCGAAAACATTCTGCTTTGGAAGTCTTCAAATTATAAATGTGAAATCTGCTGCACACCATTTGGGGTCAATCTAGGTTAAGAACAGTTTATAATGATCAGAAGCATACTTGTTCCAATATAACCAATGCGGGTTTTGCCTACATTTGTATTGCTGGAGAGTAACTCGTGTTTTAGAAGCTTAATAATTAGTTTCAAAACTGATGATGAAAAGTAGAGCATATTTTTCCTAGGGCTTTCATTAGTATCTCTAGGTTCACTTCCCTCCAGACATGGATCTCTTAACAGAAGATTAACTCCAGTTTTCCAACGGAGTTTTATTGTAAGAATATTTTGGTTCTCTGACTTTGTCCACTTAATGGATTTAGATTAAAATGTGCCTAAATTTAGTTTACCGTTGATAAGATTTGTGATTTCTAGTAGACAGGAATATTTAACTATATATAATAAAAATTTCATTATACTACAGATTACTATGATGGGTCACATTTTCAAACCAGATTAATGAAGAGTAAAACCAGATTAATGCAACTAAAATTATTGTAGTTGCTCTAGATTTGAATCAGCAGGACAGATTACTATCTGCACCCATAAGCAGGGTCTCATGTAAAAGAGAGATAAAAATATGTGTAGAATTATATATATGCATAAGAACATCCATATTCGATCAATGTAAAGGTCCATCTCACCAATATTGTCCTCACTTCATTGCTGGCCAAACACCTAAGTAAGCACGTGAGCGTAGAAAAGTATTTACAGCTATTTCTCCTAGCATTCATTAACGTAGGGTTCATGATTGTCCTCATCTAAAACCAGTGAGATGATACTTTACAGTCTTCAATAGACTTTTTCTATCATGGATTTGTTCAATTTTTTCTTGTACCCAAATTCTGGCACGCACAATGTCATGCCAGAAGGAGTCCCAAAGCTTAAATGCACCTTGTGAGGAGAATCGTTTTTGTGCGATTGTTTTCAACCAACCCCTTCTAGTTTCAGTTGGGAGCCTGATGCAGAAAGAAGGCACTTTAGAGGGTAATGACTTTATCTTCAGGTAGAAGGACAGCATAGTCAAGTGACACCAAACTCATATAGAACAAAACAACAGACCAAATAATCAATCCTTTGTGCTTTCTCTCTAGTAGTTCCAGAGTATAATTCAGGCTAAGAAATCTCCACTTAAATTGTAAAAGGTCCCAGAGAGCCTCAGTATAGCACAGTGTCCAGTAAGTACAGGAGTAATAGCTTAAGACTCTATAGACATAGACTTTATGGAAGTCTCTATGGGACATGAGAGCTCTCTTGACCAAGAGGTGTCCTCACCCTCCATTATTTTCTTCCTCAGGCCTCCTACTTGCTGTCTGTGGGAAAAGTCCCATTGATACTCTTGGGTATCTGATACTCTTGGCTTTCCCAACTGGAAATCCTTCCATGGCCCCAAGCACACAGACCTCAAACGCCAGAGCCCTTGATGAAGGAGAAATTGTGCAAATCTAATGTCTCATTGAATAATGGCCTAGAGACCTTCTAATGAAGCAGACACTCAGCAGTGCTTTGTATCAGACAGAGATTATCAGAAATAACTTTTGAATCATTTTCCTAGAGTAATGAGGAAAAAAAAAAAAAAGGAAAAGAAAACTTTTTTTGTGTCTTATGCTTTAAAGCATGCTCTTTACAAAGAAACACACTATAGCCTAAACTTCTCTAGTGGAATGAAGTTGCTTTGATGTCTCACCTATCTTAGTAAGGTTACAGCCCAGCCTCCCTACTGCAGACCAGTACCTCTTTTTGGGGTGAGCAAAGATCACCAGAAAAATACTTTAAATTTTGGAGACTACAGTCTCCAGTTGTTTGCTTTCCTCTTCCTCAGGAAGGCTTGTCCATAAGGTCTATTTGGAGCACCTCAGCAGGTAGATGCACATTGGAACATCTTGGCCTATCAGTGAGATGTTGGATTGCCCCCGACCCTGCTTCAGTCGGGGGTCTTTAACACCACTTCTGCATCTCTAATTCATACGGATTTAGGATTCATTAATTAGCATTGCTATGAGATCCATATAAAATCAAACACAACACAAACAGCAGAAAAAAGGGTAATAAGATGTTTTATTTGTATACCACCTCGGCTTAAATTTAAGGATCCACTAAGGATGTTATTTCTGGGCTCAAATAGCCTTTAAAGGAAATTATTTTCATAGGCCATACCTGAATGTGCAAGCTAAGATAAAATTTTCTTACCATTATCAGCTTCCCAGCCTGTCTCCCAACCATCTCACAGAGTATGAAAAAAGACTCAAATAATGGCTTTTACCTGTGGAAACTGTAGCCAGATCAGCGCTTGACAGAGACCGCGATGATTATGACAATGAAGAGCAGAACGGCCAATGCGATGGAAAGAAGGCAGCACTTCGTCTTCCTGGCTCGTAGCTAAAAGAGGAGAAAGACAAAGAAATAAATGCAAGGATGTTAAAGGGGAAGACAGAGGGTAAATTTGTGAAGAAATATTGCTATTTTTCCATTGGTAGTACTATTTGAAACAAGTCAAGACAACATGGAAAATTTGTCTCTTTTTTCAGACTGACTCATCCTCGTGGACAACCCAGATTCTTCTTTTTCAGTGAAAATCCCCCTTAAATACAGTCATCCTCTCTACACTGCTTTATTCCTGCTTAAATTGTTGTTTGCATCATCTAAATTTCCAGATTCTGCTTGGAGGGCTGGACTTGGGTAAGGCTATTCAGTTTGGTTTTGGTCCAGGGGTATCAAATCTGCTTTCTGGCTGCCAGGAGAAGACTGTCTTCTGCAAGATAAAGAGGTCTCTCTCCACCCTGCTGTGCAACGAAATCTAGCCAAGCAATAAGGCAGGCTGTTTACAGGGTAGGCAAATGTATCTCCAGCATTAACCACCCTGATTTCACTCAAATTAACATACAGTAAAAGAAATTCTACAGGGTTTTATTTTTTTATGGCTGTTTCTACTTAAACTCATCAGTGACCTCCACGGACATAATATTATTTGTTCCCATTCAAAACCTTTGCATATAGTTAAATTCCTCTTCCCTGCTTTTGGATGGATTAGAAGAAGGGTGTTTCTGTGGCCCCCGCAATTTCAGTAATCATCTTACCCAACACATAAGAAAAGTAACTTTAATGAGACACAGAGACAACACATTTTCCTTGAGACCAGATCAACCAGGCCACCAGACTTGATAGCACCATCTTGACTTGATAAACCAATTTCTTTCGTCCAGAGTTGTTTATCTTTCTTACAAATGAAGCAGCCTTCTCACAGAAATTATGTTAATATTGCTGCTGTTCTCCACCTTTCCTTCCTTTCTTCCCCCAGCTGCTGCCATCAGCCCTCCCAGTCTGCCTCAGACCCTTTGCTAACTGGTTTACACCACTCTGCACCCCACTGCATTTCCCACAGAGCTACATATATCTATAGTTCCCCAGCTATTCTTTTTTTTTTCCTACAGATGTTTTGACCTCTTACACTGCAAGGGACAGCAAACTCATCTCTTCCATGGGTACTCTGATACCCAGTGCTTCATTCCTTGCAACCCCCCCAGGCACCATCCCTTTTGCTCTGCAGAGCTCAAAAAGTCCTTCCAGCAGGGAATAGTGATGCATGACCTGTCCTCTCCTCCAGAATCAATCACCAAACCAAGTGTGGTTTGTTTTGGTTTTTTTTTTTTTGGTTTTTTTTTTTTTTTTTAATGGAAGTCTGGATTTCCAGATCATTATTTTTTAACAAATTCAAAGGCTGCATTGTTCTACCTTCATAGCAGATAATCAGTGATTCATCTTGGCTCTCCATTTGCTTTTCAATTACTCACACAGAAATTTGTTTTATTTGGTTCGGGGAAAAAAATAGATGCTTTAAATAAATAATTTCATGTGCATGTGTTAAGAAGGTCAGGTTTTGTCAACTGTGCTAGGAAGAAGTGTTTGTGGGGGATACTATTTTTCCCCTCCTCCAAAACTCTCTTTTCAATCAAATTAGTGTGACACTTGGGAGAGAATTCAGATGGACCAGAGCTATGTCTCTTTCTAGTGAATTTTTTCACCCGTGAAGTGATGTTTCTTCACGGTGGCTCTGTGCTTGCAGCCTTTGTTTCTGGAGGGGTAACTCAAATGTATTCTGAAAGCTGAGTGTGTGAGACAACAGACCTGCTACAGCATCATCTTTTCTTTTTAACCTTGATTAATTCCAAGTCAAAACAGGAAACCTTTGTTTCATCCTGTATCTTGATGTCCTTATCCACTTCTAAAACTCCAGAGCCTTTGTTTGGTCAGCAGAGGATGCTAATGGGTCATTTAACTTCAAGCAGTATTCTCCAATATTCCTAAGGAGAGTTTCAAAGGCCCTACAGTTATCACTCCAGATGGCTTTTCCACCAGCACCTTTGCAAAGAAATTCCCTTGTTTCATTCTTTCTAGAATTGCAAAGTTCTATTCACTCTTATTTTCAACCTTACTAGTCTCCCCCCTGCCTTTTTTCATGTTTTTAACCAATATAAAGCAAAACCAACATAAACCTCAACCATAAACAGACTAATCAGAGGGTAGGTGAGATGCAGCCAAGCCTGGATTCTGGTATTTGGTTCACATTTTATGACCTTGTCCTGGCTGGTAGGTCAGGATAATGATTCCTGCTCTGTTTGCAACATCTTTTAGTGGATTCAGTATTACTGTCCTTCACAGCAATATAATCTGGTACAGGATTCTCCTGTTAATTCCTAGTTCTTTCTTTACTTTATATTTCAATAAGGAAAATGTTCAGTTCAAGTCTCCAGTCACATCATTTATGTTTATAAATTGTACTTATTTACTCAAGTTTTCCTGATATGTCCATCCAAAGCATGTTCACATGGGTCCGTGCAAACCTTCCATGTAACATCAAGATCCTATTATTCCCATGGGAGTTTCATGACAGCAGAAACATACAATTAAACCCTTCCATCCCAAACATCAACGCAATGATGGGTTTATGTCCATTTTTAGCCAAGAAAGAGGAGACATATGCCATGAGTGGAAGTTTAGCTGATCTCAAGAGAATTCCAGTTCTCCAAAGGTTAAAAAGAAGTGATTCATGACACCATCCATTGAATCAAGTTTAATCTACACTTACACAGAAACAGTAAACCATTTCCAAACCTGTAACGGGATCATTTCTCCTGAGGGCAAGTTCCTTACTACCCTGAAACAGGTATCACTAGGTTTCTGCCTCAAAATTAGTAGTCTCAGAACAGCAGAGCCACAGCCACATAAAGTTTAAGGAGAAAAAAAAAAAAACAACCAACAAAAAACCAAACCACCTGTAAAATGAATCATTTATTTTATGAAATAATTCTTCAGGGAGCTTTGCATTTTTATAACATTTCCCACGCATCCGACTAATCCGCAGTTGATTTCACTCATCTTTTTCCAGCTCTTTCTCCCCTCAGCTGCTGGAGATCTTTCTTTCACACTGTGCATTAATGCTATTCCCTATTCTGTGTGACTTTCCTGGGGTCCGGTGCAGGAAGCTTTGAGGCCATGGGCAAAATGAGCTCCTCTCAGTTCACAGAATTGCAAAATGCTATGGGGTTGGAAGGGACCTCTGGAGATCATCTAGTCCAACCCCCCTGCCAGAGCAGGTCCACCCAAAGCAGGTTGCACAGAACGTGTCCAGGTGGGTTTGGAATGTCTCCAGAGAATGAGACTCCACACCTTCTCTGGGCACCCTGTTCCTGGGATCTGCCACCCTCAAAGGAAAGAAGTTCCTCCTCATGCTTAGATTTTTTGTTCAAGTTTGTGCCCATTTCCTCTTGTCCTGTCCCTGGGTACCACTGAAAAAAGACTGGCCCCATCCTCCTGACACCCACCCTTTAAGTATTTATAGGCATTGATCAGATCCCTCCCTTGGTCTTCTCTTCTGCACCTGTGATTTCTTGCAGGAGCATTTGTAAGATAATTTTGCTTAGCATCTTCCCTGTGCACTCAAAGCATACTGAGCTGCCTACCAAAGAAAAGACCCACCAAAACTATTGGCACAGCACAGGTATCAAAAGCTGAAGTACACTCTTGGCACAAACTGAATCTTGAGGAATTTCTCCCCAACTTCAAAGAAGTATCAAGCAAAACTGAGGTAATAGGACTTTTTGGTATTTTTTTTTCCAGAGACTTGAAGGTTTTGCCAAACACTCCTACAGGTGATAAAAAGGTATGGCTGTTTTCTCAATTTTTTTTCCTGCTAAATTGCAAAGCTCTGTCCACATATAGGAAGCACTAGAATTTAACAAAACCTCCTGAAGAAAATGCTTCTCCCAGGATAACACGTTTCCCAAAACTCCATTTTGGAAAACTTGGACTTGCTGTTAACTACCAATTAAAAAGTGTATTTAAATAGAGATAGAGAAATCAACGCAACAAACAAAATTTCAGGCTGAATTTGGGAAAAGTTTAAAGCTACCAGGAGGTATTATTTTCTACTAGAAAATGTATGAGAAGTAATTATAGGCAGAACTATCTGATTTCATTTTAATTACATTAGCTTACTCTCAACCCTGAATGGTATGCTGTTGCTTTGCTCTGGTTTTATAATTCTGTCCCAACCTGTTGTAAGCCCTTTTCCCCAAACACCTAGAATTTGTTGATTAAATTGGACCTAATCTATTTTCATTGTACACGTTTTCCCAAGATGAAAAGAATGCAGCGTGGGACAAAAAAAAAAAAGAGCCTAATCCTGTAGTAAGACGTAATGGCTTTTTACAGTTATTTTTGCTAGGCTCTCAGGGTTTTTTAGTAAAACGGTGTAGGTAAAGATATATTTTAATCCTGACAGAGGCTCTTTAAACACATGTGAAATAGGAGGGAAAAGCAGGGAAGGAACGAGCAAGGCTATTTAGGGACAGAGCTGAGAAGCACTTTATATTGACAGGCAAACTGGATGTGACTGAGCCTGGAAGAAGCCTTTCCTTCATTGTTTCATAAAAATAAGCTGCAAGTCATATTTTCCAGCCTAGAGGATATTTCCTTCTCGGGGGTGAAATGTGAAATGTTGAAAGATGTTTTAATTATGTCACGACAGATAGTTAAGTAATTAAAAACTATTAAAGCCCATTACGGCCCCAGGCCCCGAAATGCAAGATTCATCTCGGAAATTCCTGAGTGAATGCAGTTCCAAGGAGAAAATAAATGTTTTCTTGCAAAGGATTCAAAAGCTATCTAGGAAAAAGCATAAATAAGAGAAGAGGTCAGAGGAAATTTTTTTATTTACATAGACCAGAAAAAAATGAGTCAAATCAGTTCACATATGTAAAAGCATTCTCTACCCTCTATGGATTGGTTACTCCATACAACAAAAGGCAAGAAGGTCAAGATTTTACAACTGGCTCTTCTAAGGAAGTGAAAAGCCCTAGAAACAGGCATTTTAGTCCAGG